CCCCTCCTGGCTGTATGTTTGAGTCTGCAATGGATCCAGAAACCTGACCCCTGCAATTTGTAACAGGATACAGAGTCTCAATCTGCAAGTCATAAAGTGAGCTCTGGGTAGATGTGGACAGAATAGCATTCACACCCTTGACTGAGAAACTAAAGGAGCAGGTCTCTGGTGTAAAAAAATGTTGGAAGTTTCCAGCAGACTTGATTTTTTCAAAAGGAATTACATGTTGGGCAGCCAGTCTGGCGCAAGGCTTTAAATAGTGCTTTGATGCCAGAGGCAAGGCAAGATAAGATGTGAAGTTGTTGGAATAACAAGGCCGGTTAGCATCTTCTCTGAACTACATAGATGGGTTTCCCAATCTAATCCTTTCCTGAAAGTTGAGGCTATGACTTGAGAGGCAGAACTAGGTATATACCACTTTGCGCTCTTTGGATGGAAAGCAGAACATAAAATAAACCCTCAAATAAAGGCTCACCCTTTTTCTTCTGCAATATACATAGTCCTCAACTTACAACCACAATTGAAAGCAGAAGTGAGTCATGCCCAATTTTACGATCTTTTTTACCAGTTATTAAGCAAATCACTACAGTTGGTGGTTAAGCAAATTCAGCTTTGGATTTGACTTTGTTAGAAGCCAGCTGGGATGGTCACAAATGGCAATCACATGACCCCTGTAGGCTACAACCATTGTAAATATATTCTGGTTACCAAGTGCCAGAATTTTGATCATGTGACCTGGAGAATGTTGCAATAGTCATAAGTGTGAAGACCAGTCATAGGTCACTTGTTTCAATGCCGTTGTAACTTTGAATGATTGCTAAATGAATGGTTGTAAGACAAGAACAAACAATCATTTGTAAGTATGACAAACCAAAGCAGAGGGCTAAAACTTCCCACTGTAAAAAAAAAATAAATAGAATGTGTCTCATATCAGATAGCATTCTTGGAAACAAAGATGATATTGGAATCTGATCCCCCAAACCTCCACTATTGAGTTAAAAATAGCTCCTGTAGATGCGAAGGGCAAAGATCCTAATATCAATATAGCCAAAGTTTATCAAATACTGGAGAAGCTATCCAAAATAGTGGCAGAGTTAGCTTTGCTCCAAGATCCAACATTAAACCTTATTTCTCTTACTAGTAAAGATTCTCTATTTCTGGGGGGGGGGGGGAAATAACCCATCTCTTTTGAAAAACAGATTTGTTATTAAAAATAATAATAATGCAAAGGTTTTATTACCTTCATTATTGGTGTTTTATTTATTAGCTTCCCTCTGGAAATAGGTCCTTGATTCCTATATTCCTAAGCCTTTGATCTTTTCTCTTTTGCAGGTGAACTGAAAGAAATTAAACAGGACATCTCAAGCCTTCGATATGAGCTCCTTGAAGAAAAATCACAGAACACAGAAGACCTGGCAGAACTTATCAGAAAACTTGGAGAGAAACTGTGTATTGAACCAAAGCAGGAACAAAGCAGCAGATAACACGAACTTCTTTCTGAAAAGGAAAAGAAGCAGAAATTCTCCAAGCTGACAGACCCAATGAAAGCCATATCAGTGTTACCTCCCTTTTGTTTTCCTTCAAACTTAATTGACACTTTTACAGCAGACACAAAAGCAGACTCATCTTGAATGGATTTTTTTATTACTGTTTGTAACGGGAAAAACAGCATTTGACTGAGTTGTTCAATCCCATGCACCAAAGGAGAGAGAGAGAGAGAACCCTTAAAAAATAATCTTAAAATTAAAAAAGACATAAACTGTATGACTTTAACTGCTGGACTCTGTTAACATCAAGTTCTTTTTCACGTATACAATATGTTCAAACGCACATATCTTATATCTTACGTGTATCTGTATTCATAGTCCATTAAAATAAAGTGAGGTTACAATAAATTAGGTAGGAATAGAATTCCGGTCTTAAAAAAGAAAAGAATTGAACCTCCTTTAACTAAACAGATAGAGATACAATTAAATTGTCAATTAACCAAAGAGATGAATTTCATTGTCGGTATAAAGGCTTAGGGTGGATAAAAGATAGGCTCAAAAGAATACATCTGGAAATTGTGTAACTCTAAAACTACTGTACTACAATGCCACATGTATCACTATAGTTAGTCCTCAACTTATAACCATAACTGAGCTTGGAATTACAGTCATAGGTCAAGATGGTCATTAAGTGGGTCATCACATGATTGTCCCTGATTTTATGACCTTTTTACAGTGGTTGTTAAGTGGATGTGATGGTCGTAAAGCGAATGCTGCGGTTGTTAAGCAAACATTTTGATTGTTAACTGAATACTGCGATTCTTAAGCAAATCTTTGGTTCGCAATGGGTGCTTTGTGGTGGGAACTAGAAGTAAACACCAGTTTCTGTTCAAAAATGTCATAAATCGCAATCACATAACCACAGGATACTGCAAACAACCATAAATTTGGTCAGTGTAGAAGCCAAAATGCAAGCATGTGACTGCAAGGAAGGAGGAAGTTCGAATACAAGTCATGAATACCTTTTAGGGGGTCTGTCATAACTTCAAATGGCTGCTAAGCGCCGGTCAGTTGAGGACTACCTGTATTGTAATGTAATTTTTCTAAGGAATTTAAACAAAAGTGTTTAAATCTTGGCCTAACAAAAATGTCTTAAGAGACCTAGTTCTCCTCTTAGAAAATTATCATATAGGCATTGTTTGCAGAATGGGCTAAACCAGTGGTTCTCAACCTTTTCTTCACCACGGACCCCCCCCTTTTAAATACCGTTTGTGGTTACATACCATGGCCACGGACCTCCAAGACTTAACTCAAGATTTAAATCATAACGTTTCTTCCAGCCTTAGCAGATCCCCTGTGACGACATCATGGCCTCTCAGGAGTCGGTGGACCACAGGTTGAGAATCACTGGGCTAAACCATACCATGTAGAGATACAATAACCATCTCACACACAAAAGATTATGTTAGCAAGTTAAAAAAAAAAAGCTGAATAATGTTGTATCATCTATATGTATAAATTATGGTAGGATTACATTTATACGTTTATTATAAAGTGTATGGAGCTGTTTGCATGATGTGAAAAGCTGGATTTATTCATTATCAGAAAACACACATTTCTCCCTGGGGCTTTGGCATACAATGAAATGAAAGTGAAGAAATAACCTTCTGGGTATTAAAACTTAAGGCTTATTTTGTCACATAAATGCAGTGTAGAAGCCATAAACAGCTAAGGCTCAAAAGGAAAAATGATTGGGAAATACATAGTTGATTCTGAAAATCAGTGTTTCTCAAACTTGGCCATTTGAAGATGGATGGACTTCAACTCCCAGAATTCCCCAGCCAGCTGTGCAAGATCCACTCATTTTCAAGTAGCCGTGGTTGAGAAACACTGCTGAAAAGCATAAAATTACTGTTTTTCAAGTGAAGGAGAAGTTTATATGTGAGTATTTATACATCTGCCTCACTCTCCTCTGGCTTTTAAATAGCTATTATTTCAGCATTACTATCTCCTGCTATAAAGTGGAAGGTGTAGATTTAGTCCAAATCTTTCAGCTGGATTTATTTCTGCTCGTTGTCAAGAGATACTGGAAAATATAAATTTATTGTCCTCCGCAGCTATACTAAAATACTTACTTTAGTATGCAATCCCTCTGCAGGGACTAGAAGACTTCCAAAGTCCCTTCCAACTCTGTAATTCTGCTACTTGCTGTTAAAAACATACAAATAACTTTTTTTTTTTTTTTGAAAAAAATATTTTGATTAGGATTTTTCCAGGCAACTTCCCAAATACAGGCAACTTCAACTTATAACAACAGTTGTGACTGCTAATTGCTAATTGAATCATCATTTGACCGTGCCTGATTTTGTGACCTTTTTTAGCAAGATTTAAGCAAATCATGCATTTATTAAGAGAATTCCTATTAGTTGCTTATCAGAAGCTGGCTGGGAAGGTTGCAGATAGCAATCACATGACCCTGAGACTGCAACTTTCGTGAATATACGCTGGTTGCCAAGCACCTGAATCGTGAACATGTGACATGGGGACGCTGCTAAGGTTGTGTGAGGACTGGTCATAAATTACTTTTTTCAGCACTCTTGTATCTTCAAATTCTTGTTAAAGGAATGGTTATAAGTCAAGGGCTACCTCAATGTGCTCTGTTTCTCACATCTTTTGGTGTGAAAGTTTGAGCGGAGAACGCAAACACAAGTAGAGCCTTGTTCACTCCTCAGTGCAATCTGCTTCCATGCACTGCGCCCATGTCTTTTCTTTGAAGTGCGAGTAGATTTCTTTTGCACTCCCAGACCACACAACAGTCTGCAAGAATTCAAGCAGCATCCTTTCCCAACGATTGTTCTGAATGTATTTTGTAACTAAAGATGCCAGAGAATGAACATCTGGTTTCCTGCATTCGCTTTCAGTCAGCTGCCTAGAAGAATGCTAAATACCATTTATTTGTAATCACATAGGGCAAGAGGGCTACAAGAGAAGGGTTAAGTATCCCCATTCTCTCCACTAATTCTAATCTGTGGTATTAAAATTAAACGGATGAAATAACACACATCAGAATGAACTCTATTCAATTTCTGTTGGAATGGAGTTGCAACAATACACAAAACAGCTTGAGAAACAGATAGGAAAACCTGGCAAGAGAAAACTGATCAAAAGTCCCTCTATTTTAGTCCTTGGCATAGTCTTTGATCTCCAGCATCTCCACCAGCTGTTTTCTATCTCTCTGAGTCATCCTCTTTGACTCTCATTCAGAGTAAGCGGAGGATAGATTATTTAGGATATATAAAATTCGAGACTGGAAAACGTTTCTCTAAAGGAATGTCTCAAGACTTACACAAATCGGGACACTATATAGAATTACCACCCTCACTTCTGGAACCGTCCCGGGAGGCTTGACTATTGAGAAAATTTATCGGGTTACAACATAACTTCACGACAATAGAGAACCAACTGGACACTAACTTGTATGTATAAAGGGGAATATAGGACCAACAATATCTCTGCAGAGTAGGTCCTGCGTAGTATGTTTCCTGTAAAGAAGAACTCGAGGACCTTGATTAAGAGGTTGAGTTAAATAACGCAAGTATATTTTGCCACAAGTATTTAGAGAAAGGAGTAGTGAATTAGACATTCTGCTACCAACACTGGATCAGTAGACTGCTACTAATAGGGAGACAATCTGTTAATATAAAGCTATATAGTCACCCCAAGACTATATAAAAAAGTATAGATAGTCCTTGACTTACAACCACAATTGAGCCCAAAATTTCTGTTGCTAAGTGAGACAGTTGTTAAGTGATTTTGCCCCATTTTACCACCTTTTTTGCCACAGTTGTTAAATGAATCCCTGCAATTGTTAAGTTAGTAACACGATTCTTAAGTGAATCTGATTTTTCACCATTGATTTTGCTTATCGGAAGGTTACAAATGGTGATCATATGATCCCAGGACACTGCAACCGTCATAAATACGAGTCAGTCTGAATTTTGATCACTTGACCATGGGGATGCTGCAACGGTTGCAAATGTGAAAAATGGTCATAAGTCACTTTTTTTCAGGGCCATCATAACTCTGAATGGTCACTAAATGAACTGTTGTAAGTTGAAGACTACCTGAACTTGAGGTGATCTCCTGTAGCCAAATATCAATAGAGATCCTCAGGTTTCAGTACTGAACTGGATGGATCAAGCAAAAAAAGAGAAAGAAAATAGAAATGAAATTTAGGTGGTATTTATACCTGGATCTGAGGAATCGATTGACTGGTTGAGTGCAACCAAGTCTTGGTTGACTCTTGGTGGCCATATAGATAGATTTTTCACCATGGGGATCTGCCCCTGAGTAAATCCTTCAGCTTTGCCACCAGTGCATTCATTACTGATGTAACAGTTCATTCACCTTGCTGCTGGTTCCTCTCTTTCCTTCCGCCTTTCCCAGCATTATGGCCTTTTCCAGTTTATTCAATTAACTATGGCTAGGAATGTACAGAGAATACCGATTAGGCAAGCAAATACATTTCCAATATGACTGGGGCTAAATCTGTACCTCTGCACTCTTTATTAAGTAAATAGGGGAAGAACAGATCATTAAAAGCTTGAAGATTGGTATGAAAATTACTAAACTGATTCCTGGAAGGCCTGTGATTGTATGATACCAGAAGGGAAGGGAGGAAGGAAAGGAAGTAATTTAAATCTAGTTTATACTATTTATTATAGATACTTTTAGCTGTAGGTCAGGATGTACTTCAACTCCCAAGAGCAAAATAGGAAGGATCTGATCTTTTGCAGACATAAAGAAAAAATTAGAACTATATTATGTAAACTCTGTTTTGTACCACAGCAGTTTCAAGTAGGGCTTTTTCTCAGACTACTCTGCAAATGCATCAAACAGACTCTTTTAAGACGTTTTGTTCAGCATGTTGTAACACTGGAGAGTGTGACACAGAAGTGAGTAGGTAGGATGAAGGTTGGGAAGGCACAGGAGTTCATTTAGGAAACCGTATCTCTATTAAAGCATTATTGTGAAAACACAACCATTCTTTCCATACCCTGCCTCATCCCACAGGGTTGATTTTTAGTGTGTGTGTGTGTGTGTGTGTGTGTGTGTGTGTGTGTGTTCGTGAAGAATTGGAATACGCTTCATAATAGTAAAGGTAAAGATAGTCTCAAATCAAAAGGGTGGATCACAGGGTGTGTTTTTAAAAAAAACGCAACTGAAGCTCCATCTCTTTTATTTAAGTGTTTATCAAATTTAGAGACCACCCATCTTATTCACTGAACAAATCTGGGTGGTGACTT